GCAACATAGCTTTACAATACACAGCAAACATTCTGGCAATAAAAAGTAAGTGATAAACTGGATTTGAATTGGATCTGGACTTGATCTCCAATTTAGAGAGGTAATAACTATATACTGGTGAAGTTTCAGAAGCAATGAGTTCTGTATAATGTTTTGTGTAACAACAAACTTCCACTATGCTTGTCCAAACTTTTTTTTTGTTATTTTTTCATAGAGAAATTCCTCTCAGGCCATTTCAGCGCACGGAACTCAACCTTCTACATTTGGCCACATGAAATAATTGTTTGTTATTATTACAACGTTATTATTATTACTATTAATACATGAAAATAATTTTGAAATTTGTGTCACATGAAAGTTTTTTAAAATATCTTGTTATTTTAATAATAAACTTGAATTTCATTGTTAGAGTAAATGAAAGTACTCCACTAAAGCTTTCTAATGAATACTCTTTCATATTGAAAGGTCTTCTCTACATGAATTCATGGCTATTCAAAAACGATATTACTTTTTCTCAGATTATTTCTCAATATCGCTTTAAAAGACTTGATAGTAAATGAGAAGGTGTAGAATATTTTAAGCTTTCATATTGTCATTACTTTATGAGGATATTGATTAATAAGTTTTAGAGAGGTTCACAAAAAAAATTTTTATAGAAATTTAATAAGCTTCATAGATCTTGACTTTAGCACTTACTTCGATACAAGCTATTCAATAATTGATGAAGCATTCATTTGCAAATTTTATAAACTTGCTTTGGAAGCTTCGTATGTTGTCACAATAAAAATTATGGAATAAAATTTATCCAATGAAATGTTGTAAACTAGTTGGTATCCCGTATTTTGCACAAATTGAAAAAAGTTGGTATATAAGTCATAGAATGGGTTAATAATAACTAATTGTCTGGAAAAAAGTCATGCAATGATGAAGTACCCATTATGGACACCCTGTGTCTGGCTCCCTTAGGTGTATGCCTCACTTTGGACCAGCTGTAAAGTCCCACATGGCAGAAGACGGAACTCACGTGGGTGGCTCATGTTGGGTGTATTGACCCTTCGTGACATGACCCTTCCTTTTGTTAATTTTTATTATTTATTTTATTTAGTTAAAGGAAACATTTAAAAAATTAAAAAAAGATAAAATTCGCTAATTGATTTGATTGACAAAATATTCTAACGAACGTTTTATCAATTATTCAATAGTTTATATAAATTTCCCTTTTATTTTAACTTATATTTTAACTTATATTTAATAACATCACTATGATAAATAAATAATAAAGTCAGAGATAAATTTAATTGTTGTTGTTGTTGTTTATTGTTCTAATCATTATTTGCATATGTATATAGGAATAAATGTAAAAGAAAAATTTTATATCTATATTTACTTTTAAAATAAATGATTTTACTATAAAAGACATACTTAAGTGATCAAAAATCTGTAAATATTCATAATAATGTAATATTTGGACATTTATTTCTATTTATACTTGCAATTTGACGCGCCAAACAAAATTTTACGTATATGAATATAAAGGCAAAATTTGACTTCGAGGATCAGATTATTTTCGGTTTTATTAACAACCTGCTTTAAAATTTTTCATAAAGTAGATACATATGATAAAGAAGTTATATCTCAAATTTGGTGATGGCTGCTACACAGCAGGGGTATCAAACGAGGATAAAAATTTACTACGGAAAAGCGCTCTTTTCATGTATATTCCATACAAAATGCACGGAAAATGTATGGAAAAACCATACATTTTCTGACAAAAATTTTTATAGGGTAGCCGAAGTGCAAATGGCAATTAATAAGTGACATGATAAAAAGTATGTTGTTAAGTTTGTTAAAGCTCTTGGTAAACCTCAATTAACAGAAATAATTCCAAGAATTGAATTAGAATCAAAAGAATGCATATTTAAAACATATCTTGGCCTTCCTGTAATATTATTTATTTGACCAAGATATAATTATAATCAAAACTATAGAATTTAAAACCGAAATGGTTTTTCGAAAAGATGTACAAATTAACGGAATACAAAAAACAGATATAATTAAAGTCTTGCTGAAAGATCCATTCCAAGTTTGTTGCCGAAAATATTTTGGAGCACAGAAAGTATTTCGGATAAAGGAAATGATGAATATGTGACGAAAGTTGAAATAAAGTGTCAAAAGCAAATTCAAATTTTATTTTGATTTAAACCATTTTTTTTTACATTGTAAATCACGTTGCTCTTTTTCGTATGTAAAGTTTTAGTAGAAATTGCAACTTCTTTGTGTTTATTGTTGGTTCCATGACTTTCTTTAGAATCTGTAAATCATCCGATGATTGTTGGATTGTTGAGATGCTTCTTTATTTACTATTTCTGGAAATAAATCCTCGTTTATTGATTTTTGAACTAATTCTAATGGATCCATAACGAGCATTGAGTTTGGGAGGCATTCCACGATTCTGGGTTTTTTGCATGATGCTGAGTAATGTCCATTTTTTTTCTTTCCTTTAATAAAATGTGACCATACATCAGACATAGGACGTCCTGTAACTATTTCTTGGTTATTGTTAAATGAGTTTCCAGATGCATTATCTAAATTTAATGTTTGTAATATGATGATGAGGAATTGTTGGATTAGAATTCGACATGATGAACTTTTTTTTGTTCAATTTACTTCTTGAACCATGTAAATGTAAATAATAATTTAAAATTCACAAAATAATTGGTTTTTATTTTAATTACAATCATGTTTATTTCGGCATTTTCATCAAATTCCTTAAAGTGTAAAAACCCTATTTTTTTGTTTTGTGTTAGATTTTGATAACATCGCATGGATAAGATTTTCTAAAAGACAAGCATCTCGTATTAACAATGATCGTTAATTTAAATTTGATAATGGTGTCTATAATTCAATTAAGATTGTAATGGTTAAATTGAATAAAGAATACAATAATAATGATAGGATGTCTTGTCTATTAGCAATTTGGAACTTAGCATTAATCTTGAGATTTATTAAAAGCTGGTAATTTTTTAATTTAGAATATTATATATGATGTTTTAATAAAAATTTAGTCAATAATACAACTTTTTTGTGTTTATAGTTTGTCGATCATTGCTCACATATCACGAATCAAAAACTTTTTTGATTCTCTAGAAATTATTATAAGAAATATATATATTATATACAAAATAAATTTCTAATCAATCTTTAAAGTTTTGATTAAATATTTTTTTCCATATAATACACCAACAATACTAATTATTGTAATTGTGATACCAAATATCAATTCAAAAATTTGTAAGTTAGTTGAGGAAACAATAAATAATCTTAAAGATGGATCGTCCCATCTAACAAAGAATTATATTATTATAAGTAAGTATATATATATATATATGTTCAATAATAATAAATTAAAAATACTTACACACTCTCAACCCAAGTTGGTTTACTAGGGTCCACCACAATTATTTGGCCTTTCTCATTAAATTCTAATCCAGTCCCATATGAATGATGGTATCTTGTAAATGATTTAACACATTCATTGTTTATACAATAATCATCTTGCTGGATGTAAATAAATCAAAAGAGAATTAGTATAACATACACACACACACATATATATATTATTATGATTTTACCCTCCCAACAAATGTTACCTGACAATCATCTACAGATTCACACTTTCCATATTTTTGTATGGCAGTTATATTTGCCATAAATCTTGATGTAAATGCTGAAATAAACTTTTCGTCATAATTAAAAACTCCTGAATAATGAGATACTCTTTGAATATCTGTAACTATTAAAAAATTAATATAGATAACAAGTATTAATAATAATATTACTAATTATTAATATTTACTAAAAAAGGAAACATTTTTTTTACTATTAAAAAGTCTATTTGTTAATGGACATGAATAATTAAACGTTAAGCAATCTAACAATTCATCTATCATACTACAATTCACTGATATAGGTACAGATGATAACTTTGTATCATCCAATAGTAATCCTTGTGCATGCAACCATACTGCTTGTGCTGTAGCATTAGATATGGTGCATATTGAATTGCTTATTGAAACGAAATCATTATTAACATCATCAAATTCACTATTATAATAACTAATTAAGCAAGAAAAAATTATTAATGTGGATTAGTTAGATTAAATTTTTTTGTAATTAAATGAAAATAAATAATAAAAATAAAACTATTTACTTGCTGAAGTTTGATTGATAATCTGCTAAAATTATAGCAGGTATATTCCTATTTTTCTCTAAAAAAGCCATAGAACTAGATGGTGGCAGTTTTCTATTATCACCAGATCCAGCTTGTTGGATAAAAGGACTTCCATTATTTAAATTCTTTGACAATGTAATCAATTGATTTATCAATTTAGAAGTAGCATCTAAATTAGATTGACCATCCACATGTGTATAATAAAATCCAGTTGTATTATGATGACCAACTTGACTAAATTCAAATATTGAATCTATTTTGTCAAAATTGATTTGTGTAAAATTCAAATCTTTTTGACATGGGAATGTACAACCACCAACAAATGGGCATGATTGAGTTGATTTGGACTCATTTTTTTGACATTCAAATGGGCTGCTAATGTCTTTTACAAATCTTTGTGAACCAGCAAAACCCCATTCTTCTCCATTAAAGATTGTATACAAGATGTGTTTAGGGAATGATGAAAGGGTTATTGGTGACTAAATAGAAATTTTTTTAAAAAAATGTTTTTAATAAATATGATTTTTTTTAAAATATAATCACATTTTTATCCTCACTTCCTTTTTAATTTACCCTACTTAATGCATCAGCAACTGCTAATAAAGCAATTGTTCCTGAAATTCCATTATCTACACCTAAAGTAAGATCTGCAAAAAATGATTTGCTATCCATCTTTGATGAAACAATTACAATAGGTTTGCCATCATTATGATTCATATCAATTGAAGGTGTAGAATAAACTGAAAATCCACCTATTGGATCACACCATCCTAAAATATCATATAATATCATAATTAATACATATATATATACATATATATATATATATGAAAGAAAAGATTATTTGTTATAATGAAAATATTTCTAACCTCTTCTGGTACATGTATTAGCATCAATTGCTGCCCACATGAAAGAAGAAAATTCAACTGCCTTTAATGGAAATGTATTATATGAATTATTTGCATTATATCTTGCCGCCTATATATATACACACACATACATAAAAATTAATTTTATAGATATATGTATTTGAGCTAAATGAAGAAGTAAGATTTTCCAACCTCTAAAATCTTATCATGTGTCGTAAGGATATCTGAATCTGAATCTGTATTTGAATCTGGATCTGGATCTGGATCTTCACTAATATTTGATGAATATATTGCAAATATTGGAAAATCATAACTTTCTTTATTTATACCAAGACCCTTAATAAATAAATAAAATTAAGCGTGCTTAAAACTCAAGTTTTTAAAAAAACTAAAAAAATCAAAAACAAAATTTATATGTATACATTAGGGTTCCAATTATATCTTTCAGATATTGAATCATTTCTGTATAGCCCATATTCACAATTTGGACAAGTAACGTCTGGTGAGAATTGATTTGGTCTTGGAGCAAATCCTGAAGTACTATTATTTATCACTACAATAACACCGCCCAATTTATTTGATGATTCCAATGCTCGAAGGTTTTCACTTGTTGATTATTATTATTTATATAATAAATATTCAAATATTAATCGATTTACTATTATCTATTATATATATATATATATATATTATACTTACTTGTTTAGTAGATAATATGGCATAACAACGGCAAATTTACCATTTGGTCCATTATTAATGAATCCAGTTAAACCATTTTGATCTTCCACCAAGTATAAAATACCAGTAGTATCGTAAAACACTAATAAAAATAACAGAAATAATTATCAATGTTATTGTAGCTTTTCAAGAACTGAAAAAATAATATAATTGAGGATGAAATTTGAATAACTAAAAAAAGAGTACCTTGACAACCAGCTACCCCATTTGAATTTAACGAACGTGTGCATGATATTGCTTGAAGGTTATCATAAAATATATTATAGAAGCCATCTTTTGTACTAGGATCAAAGTTTTCTAAAATATATCTTTAATGTCAAAAAAGAATCCCTTTTAAAGACTTAAAAAATAAGTACAATTTGCAAAAAAGCTTACGTGCAAATGCTAAATTTTGAATTAAAAATATACTAAAGAATTTTAGTATTAAATTCATTTTTTTTTTTTGAATTTGCAAATCAAATGATATCGACACACAAAAACTCAAAATCATGTGATTGTTGAAAATTCTCTATTAATATTACTTTGGAAGATTTATTATATCTTTTTGCTGGATATAACCTTTTTGTAATTTCTATAATTTTTATAAGCATCCATAATTCAACAAGACCTGCGAGCAGATTTTAGGAGAAACAAAATCCCAATGGAGCAGTTTTATCTAATGATTTTAATTGACAATCCGCGAGAATAATAGTCCTCGGAGAATATATTAATTTAAACATGAGACGCATTTTTCATTTTATACCACCATAAAGAATTTTAGAACTTGCTGTTATGACCAATTTTTGGGGTAAATATATTCCTTCCTCAATATCAATATAATTGCTATTATATATATTTATTTTATATATAAAATGAAAATTTAGCTCGCAAAACACAGCAACGGTCCAAGCTTCTGATCAAATATTTAATGAATATCTAAGTATTCTTTATAGGATGGTGATAAATGCCGTAAAGCAAGAGGTTGGACAGCCAATCAGATAATGTCGTGATATTTATCCAAGTTTTTACACTGTTCGCTGCACACGCTGGACAAGCTCTACCGCGAAGTGAAATTGTGCCGTGATCAATAGCACCAAATTATTTTATAATCTTGATTGTCCATCCGTCCATCCACTTTAACTTGATGTCTCAATCCCTCTCCAGGAAGAATCCCTACGCCACTAACGAAAGGTCAAATGTTTTCAATATTATAACGTTCACCTCCAAACTCAAGCTTCTAAAATTCTAAAGCGAGATCCGACAGCATTTTTCCATTGTCTCACATCTTCTGACTAAGCATCACTTTCTATTGATAATAAGGGCTTTATTGCAGCAACTATAGAAACAATTTCAAGTCCATGCAAAAGTTTTCGATTTGTTTTTGTTGACACGCGATTTTTTTAAACGCATTCTCATAACGTTGAATGTTTGGTTTTATGAGCATAGACTTTGAGTCATAAGCATTTTTGAATACCGCAGCCACCATCGCCACTAATTTTAAGCTCAAAGTAAAAGTTTATTTTTAATACGTAACAATATATATAGTCATGATAAAATTTCAGTAAAATATTTTTGCTATGCAAACTTGGGATTGTTGATCATCGTAAAAGCTAAAAAAAAGTATTAAATACATTTCTTTGATTACTTCATTACAGTTTTAGGTTCAATGATTCAATAGTTTTAAACTATCTTTTCCAATTGAAATGTTATTCTATCTGAGCTGTAAATTTTATTAGACTACATCTTTCTAAAGACCATCTATGGTGTCACCCCGAATTGTGATGAACCTGGTTAAAAATGGAAGTTACGATATTTTGGTTTTTAAAGAACCTCTTAAACAGAGGGTTGTTAGCAAGCATAAATAGCATATTATAATTAAATATAACGAATTTTTAAACTTTTTGCAATATGTAAATTATTTATTTGGTTTAAATCGAACGTCTGCTACACACTATTCAAATCCTCGTGCAATTCTATTTTTCGTCATTTTTAATTATTACAATTTGCAATTTTGCAGCCTCTCTAATTAGAATTGGTGCAAAATAAAGTTCTCGAATATCTGATTTTCTAGAAGCTCAAGTTCTACAGAAGGGTAAGCCACATTAATTATTCCTGATTTACATGCATATTGATAAGTCTCATTATTTCATAAAAGATAATTATGATCCAAAGATTGTCTATCATTCTTTGGAATCAATAATCTTGCACAGTCTCCTAATGAAAAACTCTATTATTTTTAACATCTTTGTCTAGCATTTTGACGTGTATAATGACGTGCTTTTAATTCATCACTTGGATTATCATTATCTTTACTGCTACTTTTGTTGTTGTTTTTTTTTTGCTGCTACTGCTACTATTATTATTTTCACTATTGTCGTTGTTTTGGCTATTACTGCTATTACCATCGTCATTATTGTTATTATTATCATCACCACCTCTCTTATTATCATCATTCTCATCATCATAATCATCATTCTCGCAGTTTTCATTGCCACTTATTCTGTCAAGACACTTTTTAAGCCTTTCTTTCTCAAGTTTCTATTTATAGATTAAATAATTTCATTGATTTTCGTTGTGGTCACATTTTTAATGGAGAAAAAGGATCTCTTTCTGTAATTGATTAAGAAATTTAAAAGGTGTCTGGAATCAACATCTTCCCAAATTTGACCTTAATTCGCTAATCAATAACCCCGAAAATCCGGAGTACATATGTAATCTTATCCACATTAATATTTATTTCTTATTTTTAGCTATCTATTATTTATTTTTTATCTATTATTTATTTTTTTATTTGTATTAATTTTCCGAATGATTTTATAACGCTTTCATACACAAACTTGCTTGATTTAATCAAATTGTTACTTGAATCATAAAAAATAACAAATATATGAAAAAACCTTTTATTGATGTATTTTTTTGCCAGGGTAAACAAATACCACTAAGCGATAATATTAACATGAAGTTGGACTACCAGTTCTATAGGTTTTATAATAAGAAATTGGATAACATGCACAATTTCAATCTTTGGGCTTAATTTTTTTTACATGATAATAATAAATGCAATAGTTAAGTTCTAATTTCCAACCTTTAAATATTTATTTTTTTAAATTATATAACTTCAAATTTATTTTTTAAACAAATTCGTGGAACAGATCCTGATTATTAATTGGTAATTATTTTTTTATTTTTAAAGATTTTCATAATATAATAAAATTTTATCTAATAATATTAATATTAATATATATATTGCTGGATGAGATAGAAAATTGCATCAAACAAAATTTATTGATATTATTTTCAAACAAAAATAAATCCGCGTGACAGACTCTTTTCAAGAATGGTTATTAATATTAATAAAAATGGAAATAATAATAGTCAGTTAAATTGATTTTTTATTTTTAAAGGTTAGCTTCATACTATTACAAATTTTTTTTTCATCCATTTTTTATTATTTTTTACATATATTTAAAAGAGTAATTATTAAATTAAAAAGTATTTATTTATTAATGACATTGGCAGGATCTGATTGAGATGTTATTATTATTATTAT